TCACATTGTTTTTCTTTATTCTACAGTATTTACAAATAAACTCTTTATTTTAGTTTATTTTTCATAGGGAAACAGAGGGAAGAAAATCAATCACCCAACACTGAAATGCTAATCAAAATCGCCCATTGCCGGATGAAGGCTGTGGGATCCTGTCTGGTCCCATCTCCACTTCCAAGTCAAAATAGCTCATCTTATTGTAAGTATAGTACTCAGTATTTGGATAATTTCCAACTTTGCTTGCTCCTGGGCCAACAGCTGAAATGAAATTAACCAGATGAGTAGACTACTTGCTGCTGAAAATCCCATCAGAATTACACACTATCTGTCAGAAAAGTGAGACAGCAAATGGGCAGTTCACTGATATTTTGTTTTTAGTATCAACATATTAATTATATGCACCCTCACAAAAAAACATTTTTTTTATTTAGGCAAAGATACACTTGACAGGTTGGTGAAGCCTGGCTGAATGCAACATGTCCAAAGAATGTTCCTTTATTTCCAAGAATTATAATCATATACCTGTCAAGTGCATTTCTGCCTTGAGAATAACAAGTAAAGGCTTCAGAGCAAAAACTATTTAGTCATTTGGTCTATTAACAATCTTCAACTCACGTTCAGCTGGGGCACTGGGTGTGGCACTTGAGACATAGGCAGGAACAGTGGGGCCAGCTGGTTTGGCAGGTGCAGGTGGTGGTGGTTGGGCTGCAGCTGCTGCTTCAGGTGCTGCTTTGGTCTCTGGGGCCTTGGGAGCTTCAGGTGCTGTCTTGGCCTCTGGGGCCTTGGGTGGTTTGGTGCAGAATCCCCGGATGCTTGGACCCACTAGGACAGCCTCACTCTGCTTTACAGATGAAAAACAAATGTCATAGTTAGATGCTGGTTTAGAAACAGTAATATTTTACATATCCAAACTTCTGTGCAAACTGAGCTAAACACAAATGAAGGGCAATACTTAAGAAATGTCACTAATTTAAGGTAGATAGATATAAACCCCATGACCAAGTTTTTCACTTACCATACTGAGCCATGCACTGGGTACTACTTGCACTCTACTGCTCAAGAAAAAAGAAATGAGAAAAAAATAATAATAATAATAAAAAAAAAAGAAAAAAAAAAAGAAGAAGCCCAAATCTACAATTCTGGGTGTAGAATACAGAAGTCAATAGAAAAAGCAGCTAAAACTAGATCTGTAGGACACAACTTAAAGCAGGCACAACTACACTGACACTAGACATGCAGGATTTTGGCTTAGTTGATCTTGATAAAAAAACAAAAAAATGCTGTCCAGCCCCCCACAACAACTGGGGATACATCATTGTAACAATGATGTGCATAAATTCTATTCCCATACTGGCCAGTTAGCTAGTCAGCACCTAGGGTACACACTAGGATTCATGTGGAGATCTTTGAACTATAAACTCAAAATCTATTGTTGACTCTTTTCTTAATTGTCATTATAGCTCCTCTACAATAAGGCTATTTTACTAATAGTGAAAAAATTCAAGATGATAATGTAAACCAAATATCACAAACAGTGCTATTGTAACATATTTATATACTGCATACAATTTGTGCAAAATACCAACTCACTCTCTCCTTTTAGTTTAGGATAAATAAGACAGATAACTTAATCTACAGTTAATGTATATGAGCCAACCAAATGATACTAGATTATCTGTCAAATAGGCTTAGCTGGATTGCATTACTGAGATGATATTTTTATTGCTTACCACGATACCAGCCACCTCCTATGACTGCCTGCCTTGTGCCAATTTGGTCACAAAGCCTTCTGCCTTTACTTATTCACTATTTTGCTTTGCACATGTTTCATCTGTCATACATGATTTTGTATCTTACTTTGGTAAGCTTTATATATGAGCCAGGCCTGTGACTATATTTACCTCAACAGAACTGGCAATTATTCAGAACGGATTCTGGCAAATGAACTAATATTAGTAACTATGAAATTATCTAATGTATAAATATCAGCCATGCCAATAAATGCTAATGTTCATTTTATCCAACTCACCCTCATTCATAGGGTAACATCTGTCTTTCAATTGATTTTGAAGAAAAGACACAGAAAAAAAGGAAGAAGAAGAAGAAGAGGAGGAGGCAGACGAAGAAGAAGATCATACCAACTGATACACCCTATTTGCCCGATGCTATGAAACCTCAATATTTTTTCTTACTTTCCCCACCCATATGTATTACTTCTGAAGCCAGTAGTGACCATATTCTCTAAAAATTCTAAATTAAATCTATCAGCGGCACTTCACTATGGCACTGATGACAGAACCTGCTAGCAAATTCGGAAAGGAAAGGAAAGGAAAGGAAAGGAAAGGAAAGGAAAGGAAAGGAAAGGAAAGGAAAGGAAAGGAAAGGAAAGAAAGGAAAGGAAAGAAAGAAAAGAAAAGAAAAGAAAAGAAAAGAAAAGAAAAGAAAAGAAAAGAAAAGAAAAGAAAAGAAAAGAAAAGAAAAAGAAAAAGAAAAAGGAGAGAGAGAGAAATCTATGACCTTCACTTACACTCCAATCTTGCAATTATTGTTTTTTGTTCCAATTATACAATATGTAACATATGTGAATCTGTTGTTTTCCTTTGCAAATGACCAATTCAGGAAATAAGTGAAAGTATTGGCACTTGTTTATGAAGTGACCGCACCCCTATTGCTCTCGCCAAAAGCGCTGGGGCCTCCTGGGAATCCACAAATATCCCCCTTTGAACTAAAATCTGGTATTTGTTACCGAGACAGATGAAGTGCCAAAAGCAGGATATTAAGCAAACCCAAAATCCAAACCTAACCTTTCCAGTCTTCTATTTCTTCCCTTGACGGGGGAAACTTTGCTAACTCAACAGATAATGGAGATTAAGCAGAAGATATTTTTATCATTATGAGGTAAATGTGTTACTGGAGCAGCTGTGCCTGCATTGTTCATTACTCTACTTACTGTGCACTTTAAGATTGCAATTTTCACTTCCCTCTCTCTCTGTGCCTCACTCTCGGCGGCATTCACCCAAAGTCCTTCCCATCCCAACGGCTTCAGTTCAGAACCCCTAATTTCTTCCTTTCTGAATTTCTTTGCCAGCGCAAATTAGTTCATTTATGAGTGAGTAGTTTTGCCTTGTCTTTACTTATGACTTATAAATAAACAAAATCTTTGCTAATAAAAAAATAAAACTCATCCTTTAGTCAATATGTAGAAGAGGGTAGTGGGTTACTTTCGAAACAATTTTGATATTTTTCTGCATGAAATCCACTGCTGTCAATGATTCTAGGCATTGTTCCTTGTGCAAATGAATCGTTGACGAGATATGATCACCATCTCCATTGACAACCTTGATTTGATAGTCCCGATAGCAGGGGAGGGTATGAAGTATATCAGGGAAATTATGGGGTAAAACAGGGCCCTGTGGTTGTTAAACAAAACGTCCTAACCCAACACCCAACCTAACCTAACACAGTGGTATATATTCCCAAGTCAGGGGGCTCTGCCCCCTGGACCCCGGGGTAATGTTTATGCCTAGCAGCCTTGGGAAGCATTTGCACACATATTGCCATAGAAGAACTTTGTCTTGGCTTGAATTGTTCTATCATTTCATGTAGGTTTTATTACCCAACTCTGCCACTACCTTATGCTACATACTTTCACAATCAGCTGAAAAGCAACGCCTCTCAAGTTACTAAGCTCTACTGACCCGAACAATCATACCGAAACCCCTGCATCTGGTGCCTTAAACCTTTACCAAAAAAAAAAAAAAAAAAAACTAAAATATTTCTTTACTTTCAGAAGGGAAAAGTCTAGAAGGAAAATCAAGTATATTGAGGTTCTCAGACTTCAACTTCTGGGATAAACTTTAAACACTACCTCTAACTCATTCGCACGTACAAGAATATATCCCTTTACCCTGAGAGTCCGCACGAGTGTTGTTAAAGCCGACATATTTATTAGTTTAAGTTCTTTCCTCTCCGGCGTCCGAGCGGCGACTGAGTGCTGGCGAGTCTTTTGGCCCAAGACTCTCGGCTTCGAAGCCTTTATATTTGTGCTCTTTCGGCTTCGAAGATTTTATATTTGTGCTATTTTCTGATGTTTTGAGAAGTTGTAATGGTCAGATTTACTTTTTCATTATGTTTCTTGTGTAATAGAAGATATGATAATTCGGTATGAGTGTTCAGGATACGACATAGCTAGAGTTTTGATGTTTTTTTTTGTAAATTTGTCTTTCTGGAATATGAAGCACTGAACAGTTTCTATAATTAGCGAGAGGACACTGCACAATTCGCACAACCGTCCATAGGTTTTGACATCGCACGCGCGTTCTCCTCGACAATTATTAAAAGATTCCTCTAGACTGTTAAATGACGGAATGATAGAAAAAAATAATGATAAAATGTATGAACAGAAATTGCTTGCCGTGTCTATATAAAAAAAAGTCCACAGGTTCCACGAATACAAATTTACATCAACTTGCCAACTTTTTATTATATGTTACCGTTTCATTGCATGCATGTTTATATCAATTAAGCGACCAAATACAGATGTAACTGTCTAACAAGTATGCATACAGACAATCATGTCCAAACACCCTTATACATAAACATCTAAATTCACATGCACACCTGAGTATCTGAGTATAGTTTTTTTTTTTTGTTTGTGTGTGTGTGTGTGTGTGTGTGTGTGTGTGTGTGTGTGTGTGTGTGTGTGTGTGTGTGTGTGTGTGTGTGTGTGTGTGTGTGTGTGTGTGTGTGTGTATATATATATATATATATATATATATATATATATATATATATATATATATATATATATATATATATATGCATATATATATATATATATATATATATATATATATATATATATATATATATATATATATGTATATATATATATATTAAGATGATAATCGGCGAAAAGAAAGAATTTTCACATGAGAAATATTAGATGCACTTTAGAATACACGGGGAGGGGCACAGTGAATCATAACTTTGTAAGGAGTGAGAGCAGTACTGGACAAAGTCTATATAAATACTCATACCTTGGTATTGGAAAACGGGGGTTTGGGTGGGTAATGGCTTCTTGGTAGCCCTAGAAAATATGCAATCTAACGGTACGCAAAATTAGTGGCAAAAGATAGAAAAAGAAACCTGAAGGTTCAGGAAGAAAAACTGAGTCAGATACATAATATAGAACATATTCTGTGTATTACTTAACCCCAAATGATGTTTTTACAACCAAAAAATATCCGTTTTAATTAAAAGCCTTAATTGTAACATTCTATCACTTGCGCCCTTGAATGCAAATAGATAAAATGATATGTATAAATGATATCCATAGATAAGACAAGAGAGAGGGAAAGCATAATTATTTTAATATCTACAGGTTCTCATTTGTACTTTATGAATTAAAGATGTTGTTACTATAAAGCTGAAAAATATATATCTTTATACCTATGAAATTTTCCAGTAATAATACTAGAAAAGGGAAAGCGGGCTCGAGTCTGGCGTGTTCCGTCTTCAAGCGACAAAACATTTGGTGTTGACTTTAGCCCCACAAAGATGCGAAGACTTTGTTGGTTATTCCTGTGAAGTTGAATGTCTTAGAAATGAATTATCTTTATCTGACACTAAAATATTAACGCTTAGAAGTACTATAACCTCTGTAGGTGTCTGAAGGTCACACAAAGTTTGAAGACGATTTTGATAGAACTAAGCCAATGTCATTACGAGAAAAAAATCCACTTTTAGCTCATTGAAAAGTAATTAGTAAGCCAAATCTTCATACAGTTCGGTTATAAATTCCAAGTGTACTCGATTACAATTCCAATATAAATTCTGTCACAGGAGATTTCCATTCTAATATTTATGATGTGATACAACCATTCACTCTTTACTACCGGTACTGTTTTGTAGATATAAGAGTGCCATTATTATTATAATTGGCTATAGTCTATAATAATTATAGATTATAGCCAATGTTAATAGATAATCAACTTTATTTGTGTCAGACAGACCCTTCATACATATTAATAAAGATTAATTTCATGACCTAGAAGATGCTGTGATGGGAAGGACTAAAGGAGATAAAATTTATTGACATCACAACATTCGGCACAAATTCTCAAAGAAGAAGAAGTAGAAGGAGGAAAAGTGAGGAATCATTTGGAATATCGTAAAAGAAGGGAATAGAAGAGAAATGATGTGGTTGCCAGAGTCTTGTTGAACAAATATAAAAGGTATTTGAATATGATGCTTAATTATAAATGAAAATTTAAGTAAGTCTTAGAATGCTAATGTCCTTTTTTTCTTTTATGTACAATATATATTGTGTTATTATTTGTAGATGGTTTATTTGATGAAGTTTTGAATTATGTTATAATTATTTGCAGAAGGATTGAAACAAAATGGATATTTATGATTTTTTATTCACACCTTCCAAAAAAAACAAACTCAAGTGACTGAATATTTACAGCTGTGCAAACTAGGATTTCCATACATGAAGTTTTATGACACAATTACAATATCAGTTTATCAGTCTGTTTGTGAGAAGGAAGCAGAATGGGAGGAAGTGTTCTTCATATGTTGATTGAGGTGTCGGAGCATTTCCAGGAGATTTTGAGGCTGGTAAGTGCAGTGTTCTTTGAAATTCTGATTCCATAAATAAAATGGATAAATTAAGACAAATACAAGATACCCGCAATGACTCAGGTGATCCCCTTGGTCTCTACACCTCTTGGCACAAAAGCTTCCATATACCTCAAATATATTTTGACAAGATAGAGCTTATTTGAGGATCAATCCCTAGGGTAGTCTGCAGCTCCTCCTTGGTAAAATATTCATTGTGCAAGTATGTTGGCTATTGCCAGAGTTGTAAACCAAAGGTAATCACTTGATTTATGATCACAATAAGTTTCAAGTGTATTTGGATGCATCACTGGACTTATTATAATTATTATGTGAAAAATTTGTAAGGCAAGGCACTGTGGATGTCTTGTACATTTACCTTAAAATGCACCAATGAATGTATAAAAAATGAGAAGCCTACACAACTGTACACAGGATATCAAACACATAGCTTACAACACACTTGTACGCCCAACCCTTAAGTACTGTAAAGCTGTATGGAACTCCTACACCAAACATAACATTGAGAAGCTTGAAAAGGTCAACACTAGGGCTGCAAGGTTTATTATATGAATTATATGTGTACACCTGGTATAACAACTAGCATTAAAAAAAGAATACGGATCTACTCGAAAAAAGAAGACAAGTACACAGACTTACGATCATGCAGAAGATCTTAAACAACCTTATGGACATTATCAAACAAGAATTACTACAAGCAGCACACTCACACTTAGGACATGAAACTCACATAGCAGTATGTTTCTTATATACCATACAAACACCAACTCTTATGAGCACTCCTTCTTCCCACATACCATATGCAACTAGAACAGGCTACCCCAATACAGCACTGAAACAAGAACACTGATCATCTTCACTGGGAAACTAAACAAACACATGACATAACAGTCACTTTCACAAACTCTCACATTACCCTTTATTACCCTTTATGCCTTAACCCTTTCCTCCACCTCCCAGCAACCAACATGTAGGTGTGATATGTGCTTACCAACACCCTATGAGATTAAGATTGAGAGGTATTATTTTTTAAAAACTTTCCTTTTTAAGTGTGATATTTAAATGCTTATGAGATATGTAAAAGGTCAGTGACAAAAAAGCAGGGTGATATTAAGGTTCTGAAGAGTATAGTATTATGGGTATTATGATTTGATTAATAAAAGTTTTTGTCAGAGAATTTTAAAGTGATAATTAAAGATAAGAGAGAAAATGGAAATAAGACTGTGAAAATAAGAATGAGAGTAGAAATATATTAACAAAAAATAGCAACATAGAAATTAAGGAATTGAAATATACATTTAACAGATATATACAGTACTTTCAAAATACATTTACTTAGTCTTATTTTTAAAAAATAATCTCAATTCACTTTTGCAGGCTGCAGCAGATGGTGTATTGGATTCGTGGGGGATTGAGATGGTTCTTCAAAATGTTTCTTTATCTCTTCATGAAGATGACAATTTTCAGGGACACATGTTATTTGGTCTTCACTCTCTCCTGCTCTTGTTAGCAAGGGTTTGTATCAGTACTTTTTTCCTTGTTTTCATCATACTTCTCTTCCTCTTCCTCTTTCTCTTTCTCTTTCTCTTTCTCTTCCTCTTCCTCTTCCTCTTCCTCTTCCTCTTCCTCTTCCTCTTCCTCTTCCTCTTCCTCTTCCTCTTCCTCTTCCTCTTCCTCTTCCTCTTCCTCTTCCTCTTCCTCTTCCTCCTCCTCCTCCTCCTCCTCCTCCTCCTCCTCCTCCTCCTTATAACTTTGTCCTTGATCTTGCCTTGAAACTGTTTGAGAATTTTAATTTTATATGATCTACTTCTCCCCTTTATGATATCAGTATAGCTGACACTAGCAATTTAACCCAATGCCGATGGGCATGACGTGTAGGTATGTGCTATGCCCACTGTGAGTTACTTGTTTGATTGTTTTTACACATAGATGGCTACACCTGTATTAAGTCAGTTATGAGTACTGCCTGTCTCACCTGTTTACCCTTTTCTTTGATTTACGATTTACAAAAATATTTTACGTTATCTTATTTTGCTGTTACTAATGTTTAAAACATTATGATAATTATAATATTTATAATAAAAATAACACCATCGATATTCGTATCTCTAGTAAAAAATATGTTTTTCCCACCAATTCAAATCAAGTAAGGTCACAAGGTCTATTAATTGACTCCTTTGTTGCTAATCACTAGCAGAGCCATCTATGTGCAGAGATATTTCATGAAAAGCTTAGAAAATGAGCGCAGCATTTTCCCCATTTTTTATTCAGTTTCCCTGGCAGCATTGGGTTAAATTGAAATATTACCATTATGAAATCAAGCTCATTTATGAATTCTCAATATCTTGATCATATATTACTTTTGTTCATGATGATCATATTTTCAAGGGCTAATAAGTATTGTCACTCCTTGGGCCATTTATTACCATCACAGAGGCATCAGATGGCCCATGGGCCATGAGTTTGAGACCTCTGCTCTAAAAACTAACTACACTTAGTAAATATGTCTAGATTTTCATCTTTTACTGTTTATCTCCTTAGATTGCATTGTTGGACAAGTGATAGGAAGATATTTATTAAGATGAAAAGTTTCACTTAAACTGTCAGAATGATAAACCTAGTAGACATAAATTGAATTAAGTATAAACCCTCTTCATCTGGATTATCGATTTTGACACATTTATATCAATTTATTAGGAAATGCAATGATTAGAAATAAAAGAGACTCATGTATTGGGCTGATGACCATATATGGTTCTTTGGATATAAAAGTTAAGTACCTTACATATTTGTATATTTATATTTTCAGAAATTAGAAGAACTAGGGCATGAAATATATTCAGATGGCTGTAGCTGCGGTTGGGACACATCACAGTTACCTGAATCACAGCACAGTGATATCCATAGATATACATCAGGCACTGTTGTCAGATGGGTTCAGGGAGAATGCTACGTGCTCTTGGCATCAACTGAGGCTGAGGCAGAAATGTACCATGACACAGAGCAAGAAGGACAGGCAGATGAAGACCAAGAGGGGAAACATGAAGGAGGCAGGGACAGCATAGAAGACTCCTATGCACAAGAATATGCGAGCAGTGAGAAGGATAGTGTCCATGACAACAGTCATCTTGACCAAGAAAGATGTGATGACAACCACTTCAAAGACCAGGAAGAGTCTATTTCTCCCAGTGCTTCTAGCTGCAAAAGCTCAAAGGAAAGAGAGGATTTGGCAAGTGGAGAGGAAAATGAAGAGAGTGAAGACTGCTTGTGCTCTTCCTCAGCAGTACATGACACAAACACCCCTGTAAATATGACAGATTACAGAGTTGAGAGGAATAGTATCAGTGATGATGAGACTAATAAACAAAAACAGGGAGACTCACAAAATATACCTGGTAACTGGTCAGGCTGCCAGGTTCATTCATGTAGTGTTAAGGAGAATAAATACAAAAAGGATATGGTTCATAAAATGAGCTTTGAGACATTTCAAAAATCAGCTGAACATGAAGCCATAGAAGATGAATATGAAGACCAAGGAAAGAATCAACCTGACAGAGACGAATCAGCAGATCTTTCCTATGAAGGAGAAGACTTGCAAAAAACTAGTGTCATTAAACAGGAAGTAGAAAATCTAGAAGAGAGTATTTCTCCAAATTCTGATGCTACAAATGAATTTTCAGAAGGAGCTGGCCATGAGATCAATGATGAAGAACATGGTGATATCAGAGCAGAAGTTGACTTACCCTCACTTGAAAACCAAAAATTCCCATTGCAGAAAACCAACAGTGGTAATGAGGAGATTAGAAGTTACTTGGAAAATGAAAGTTTAGAAGATTATAGAGACAATAGAATATACAAAGGAGCAATAAGAAAAACTTCAGTTAGTCAGCAGGAAGAGAATATTGCTGAAGAAAATGAGAAAGGAGAAAGCACTGAAGACATGGAATTTGAGAACAGAGATTATGTTGTATTCAATGAAAGCAAAAGTGATAATGAAGCAACAAGTGATAATGAGATAAATGATGAAATGGCAAGTGAAACAGCCATGAGTGAAGATGAAATGAGAGAGCCTGAGCCTGACCACATGGATCACCTTCAAGAACAGCCTGAAGTTATTGGTCCACCAGAGTCTAATAGAGAGCCTAGCTTAAGAGAAGGCCTGTGTGAAGACAGCATTGATGGGGATAACAGCTGTACTCTCATCATCCATGAGGAGGAGACGGTTGAGGGCCTCTCCAGCTCACACTTCCAAAAGGATGGAGATTCACAAGAGAACATGAATTGCATTTTAGAGGATAGAACTAATAGGATATTGAATGCTCATGAAGATGCACAGAGTTCAGATGCAGTTGATATTCCCTTTGGATATTGTTCAGTGCTCAAGGATAAAAAAATGGAAATCTTTGGCCTGCAGGACCAGACCAGTTTGTGCAATAGCAGCGCCTTACAGTTACAGAAAAAGGAAAGTAAGGGGAACTATGTAGCTGAACAGCAAAATGAGTTTGAGGATGATGATGAAAGCGATGATGACTCCAGTTCTGTCACTTCCAGTAGCTCCTCATCATCTTCCTCCTCTTCTAGCTCTTCATCAAGTAGTGATGATGATGACAGGATAAGTTTCAAACAGAGAGGTAAGTACCATATTTGGCCTACAGAAGTAGTATCATTCTATGGAGATTTTTAGTCAATCCTTTTAGAAAATGAAAAGTTATTGGGGACTGTCTAAATGGATTTGTATTTTGTGAATAGTAATTTACAGAAGTGATGATATTCTTCCTTATATTATATTCCTATCTCCTCATATTGGTGACACCAGAATTGTAACATTTTAAGAGTAATATATAAAAGAATTATGGATAGACAATTGTTTTGATGAAACTGTTATATGATATCTTTATCCATCATATCTTTAACTGCTGGTAGTGATTTATACAACTTTAAAACTTGTTTTTTAATCATCCAGTGGAAAGAGCTGCCCAGGCTGCCAGAGACCAAGCTGCACGGGAAGCAGAGGCATCAGCAGCTGCTCTAATGTCTGCTCTGACAAATGATCATGTGCCAGACCAGAGCACAGACATGCAAATCAAGGAGCAGTTGACTGAACCACCAATACAACCTCAAGAGTTACCAGGTCAGACCAAGCCGGATAATACACCAATAATAGAGCACATGGATTCAGACTCGGCAAGATCTTCTCCCTCAGAAGACATGGTCCAGCACAACGAAGACACAGTAGCTGCCACGGCTACAAGCTCAGTTTCCCATGTGTATGTAGATCCCCCAGCAGGCTCCCTCCCTCTGACACACCACCTCTCTTGTCATGAACCCCCTGACATGTCACACAGTGGACGTGATCCAGCTGACCTCCAGGCAGCACAAGGTCTAGCAGACTTGCAGAGGGGCCAGAGCCTGAGCCTGACCACATGGATCACCTTCAAGAACAGCCTGAAGTTATTGGTCCACCAGAGTCTAATAGAGAGCCTAGCTTAAGAGAAGGCCTGTGTGAAGACAGCATTGATGGGGATAACAGCTGTACTCTCATCATCCATGAGGAGGAGACGGTTGAGGGCCTCTCCAGCTCACACTTCCAAAAGGATGGAGATTCACAAGAGAACATGAATTGCATTTTAGAGGATAGAACTAATAGGATATTGAATGCTCATGAAGATGCACAGAGTTCAGATGCAGTTGATATTCCCTTTGGATATTGTTCAGTGCTCAAGGATAAAAAAATGGAAATCTTTGGCCTGCAGGACCAGACCAGTTTGTGCAATAGCAGCGCCTTACAGTTACAGAAAAAGGAAAGTAAGGGGAACTATGTAGCTGAACAGCAAAATGAGTTTGAGGATGATGATGAAAGCGATGATGACTCCAGTTCTGTCACTTCCAGTAGCTCCTCATCATCTTCCTCCTCGTCTAGCTCTTCATCAAGTAGTGATGATGATGACAGGATAAGTTTCAAACAGAGAGGTAAGTACCATATTTGGCCTACAGAAGTAGTATCATACTGTGGAGATTTTTAGTCAATCCTTTTAGAAAATGAAAAGTTATTGGGGACTGTCAAAATGGATTTGTATTTTGTGAATAGTAATTTACAGAAGTGATGATATTTTTCCTTATATTATATTCCTATCTCCTCATATTGGTAACACCAGAATTATAACATTTTAAGAGTAATATATAAAAAGAATAAAAAATTATGGATAGACAATTGTTTTGATGAAACTGTTATATGATATCTTTATCCATCATATCTTTAACTGCTGGTAGTGATTTATACAACTTTAAAACTTGTTTTTTAATCATCCAGTGGAAAGAGCTGCCCAGGCTGCCAGAGACCAAGCTGCACGGGAAGCAGAGGCATCAGCAGCTGCTCTAATGTCTGCTCTGACAAATGATCATGTGCCAGACCAGAGCACAGACATGCAAATCAAGGAGCAGTTGACTGAACCACCAATACAACCTCAAGAGTTACCAGGTCAGACCAAGCCAGATAATACACCAATAATAGAGCACATGGATTCAGACTCGGCAAGATCTTCTCCCTCAGAAGACATGGTCCAGCACAACGAAGACACAGTAGCTGCCACGGCTACAAGCTCAGTTTCCCATGTGTATGTAGATCCCCCAGCAGGCTCCCTCCCTCTGACACACCACCTCTCTTGTCATGAACCCCCTGACATGTCACACAGTGGACGTGATCCAGCTGATCTCCAGGCAGCACAAGGTCTGGCAGACTTGCAGAGGGGCCAGAGCCTGAGCCTGAGCAACAACCCTTCAGGCTCTGCATCCAGCTCCATGACTTTTATGGTCAATGAACTACAAGAGGTAAGTGGGATCAGGGCAGAGATAGCTCATAGTGTGGCTTGAATTGAATTGCAATATGCAAGTCTCTCATTTTAATTGGGTGATAATGGAAAACTACTTGTAATTAGCTAGCATTTTTACTGTTGTGTTCTCTCATGATATACTGAGCATTACAGATTTTTAATAGGATTTTAGAGGCACAATGATGTGTGTTATATTAGTGATGTGTTATATCACTTTTCCATTCTTCATTTATATGGATACAATTGTATGTAAACACAAAAATAATTGAAAATAAATAAGGTTAGCTCTCTGTTAAAAAGACAGAAAAACAAAAAAAAATCATATACATACAAACTTCCAGATCCCTCTTGAAATCAGACGATCTGTGAGTGGCAAGGGTCTCGAATGTGTTGTATGCGGGAAGGTGTTTAACCGCAAGTTGAAGTTAAAGCAGCATCACCGAACACACACTGGGGAGAGACCCTGGGGATGCACCACCTGCGGAAAGTCTTTCAGCACTTCAGCTTATCTGCAGAAGCATCGCTTGACTTGTCACACTCCAGCACACCAAAGACAGTTTTCTTGTTGTATGTAATTGTCGGAATGTTTACAGTGCCATGATAATGTATTATTATCATTAATTTTATTACTAGTGTCATTTTTTTTTTTTCAGAGCATTAGATATAAGATTCATGTTGGATTGTGTGTGTGTTGCATGTGTGTGTGCGTGTGTGCGTGCGTGCGTGTGTGTGTATCTGTGTATGTGTGTGTATCAGAAAATGGGGTAGAGATGAGTGGCTTAGCCACACCTCTCTCTCACAACTTCATTTTGGAATTGTAGTTTAGAAATATTTGTGCCCTCAAAGCTCATCTTGTTAGCATTTCATAACCTAACTTTGTAGATGTTACTCATAAGTATTTGTTTTCTCACAGTGGCAATAACAAAAAAAAGAGAGAAAAAAAGAGTTATTTTATCATTTGCCAGATTTTCACCAAGAGATATATTTGACTGGTTTTGATTTTAGATTGGATACCTTTTCTATATTTGCCATGTATTGACATGTTTTTCTCCTTGTATTGTTGGCCTTTTTCCTCTCACAATTTGTAGCTGTGTTTCAGGCACATTTCTTTCTTTATGTTTCTGGCATACTCATGCCCACACTTTATAGTTTCCTTTTAACACTTTCTCCCTGTCACCCATCATTCATGTAGAAAATTTACATAAACAATTGTAGAGAGTAGCTAGTAAATAAAGGGGTAAAGTTGGAATTTGAGTGAGCTACACTACATTACCTTAATAATGTGTATGTTAGTGAGTTCCTATTTTTTTTCAGTTTCTGTTGTGTGATGCTAAGTACTTTTTTCATAAATGTTTCTGTTGCAGTCAACAATGATAAATTTCACCACATACTTCTCAGAACCTGATATTTTTTTTTCTTGATATCACTTCTGTTATCAGAAATAACAATACAAAATTTGAATATGCATTGGTTTTCAGAATGAATAGAAGTAGATTAGAGGCAAGAAAACTAACCAAAAGCATTTTTATAAATCCATACTTAACTGTTTTAAGAGTTGTTTTCTGGTGATTGCTATTTTCTGTAAACTTCCTGACAGATGTGTGCCATAAGGGCTTTGGACTAAGAAGTGCACTACAGACACACCTTGCAACACATGCGACAAACAAGCCATTCACCTGTGATATTTGTGGGCAGACATTTGCTCTCAAGCACACAAGAGATACTCACAAGGCACAACACACAGGTAAAGTGTAAATGTTTATAAATGTACCAGTGGTTTCTCCTATGGCACCAAGGTGTGAGATAGTTGGCACAATATGAGTTGTGAGTGAGCATCAACTGGCTTGTGAAACCACTCTTAAGAACTTGTAAGCACAGATAGATAGATAGATAGATAGATAGATAGATAGATATAGATAGATAGATAGATAGATAGATAGATAGATAGATAGATAGATAGATAGATAGATAGATAGATAGATAGATAGATAGATAGATAGATAGATAGATAGATAGATAGATAGATAGATAGATAGATAGATAGATAGATAGATAGATAGATAGATAGATAGATAGATAGATAGATAGATAGATAGATAGATAGATAGATAGATAGATAGATAGATAGATAGATAGATAGATAGATAGATAGATAGATAGATAGATAGATAGATAGATAGATAGATAGATAGATAGATAGATAGATAGATAGATAGATAGATAGATAGATAGATAGATAGATAGATAGATAGATAGATAGATAGATAGATAGATAGATAGATAGATAGATAGATAGATAGATAGATAGATAGATAGATAGATAGATAGATAGATAGATAGATAGATAGATAGATAGATAGATAGATAGATAGATAGATAGATAGATAGATAGATAGATAGATAGATAGATAGATAGATAGATAGATAGATAGATAGATAGATAGATAGATAGATAGATAGATAGATAGATAGATAGATAGATAGATAGATAGATAGATAGATAGATAGATAGATAGATAGATAGATAGATAGATAGATAGATAGATAGATAGATAGATAGATAGATAGATAGATAGATAGATAGATAGATAGATAGATAGATAGATAGATAGATAGATAGATAGATAGATAGATAGATAGATAGATAGATAGATAGATAGATAGATAGATAGATAGATAGATAGATAGATAGATAGATAGATAGATAGATAGATAGATAGATAGATAGATAGATAGATAGATAGATAGATAGATAGATAGATAGATAGATAGATAGATAGATAGATAGATAGATAGATAGATAGATAGATAGATAGATAGATAGATAGATAGATAGATAGATAGATAGATAGATAGATAGATAGATAGATAGATAGATAGATAGATAGATAGATAGATAGATAGATAGATAGATAGATAGATAGATAGATAGATAGATAGATAGATAGATAGATAGATAGATAGATAGATAGATAGATAGATAGATAGATAGATAGATAGATAGATAGATAGATAGATAGATAGATAGATAGATAGATAGATAGATAGATAGATAGATAGATAGATAGATAGATAGATAGATAGATAGATAGATAGATAGATAGATAGATAGATAGATAGATAGATAGATAGATAGATAGATAGATAGATAGATAGATAGATAGATAGATAGATAGATAGATAGATAGATAGATAGATAGATAGATAGATAGATAGATAGATAGATAGATAGATAGATAGATAGATAGATAGATAGATAGATAGATAGATAGATAGATAGATAGATAGATAGATAGATAGATAGATAGATAGATAGATAGATAGATAGATAGATAGATAGATAGATAGATAGATAGATAGATAGATAGATAGATAGATAGATAGATAGATAGATAGATAGATAGATAGATAGATAGATAGATAGATAGATAGATAGATAGATAGATAGATAGATAGATAGATAGATAGATAGATAGATAGATAGATAGATAGATAGATAGATAGATAGATAGATAGATAGATAGATAGATAGATAGATAGATAGATAGATAGATAGATAGATAGATAGATAGATAGATAGATAGATAGATAGATAGATAGATAGATAGATAGATAGATAGATAGATAGATAGATAGATAGATAGATAGATAGATAGATAGATAGATAGATAGATAGATAGATAGATAGATAGATAGATAGATAGATAGATAGATAGATAGATAGATAGATAGATAGATAGATAGATAGATAGATAGATAGATAGATAGATAGATAGATAGATAGATAGATAGATAGATAGATATTTCTGTACTTTTGAGAAATACCCAACTCTTACTAGTTGGTACTCTATTTGAATTGTATATTTAACTATACTGATGCAGATGTTAGTTGACTTAAAATGTAACAGTAGGTTAATACATATACTATAAATCAAAGCCAGTTTTAGATGATATGGTAATCAGTTTACAAGGTAAATGTTGATGTGAAGCAATGTATTTTTTATTTTTTTTTTATTTTATACAATAGTGATAAAAGTGTGCAACACAGTCTCTTAATAGTCATATGTAATTTCAGGGAATCGTCCATGGGTGTGCAGTGTTTGTGGTCGCTCATATGTCACAAAGTATAAACTAAGAGCACACATGAAGTCACACACAGGGGAATTGGTGTGCTCTGTTTGTGGACGACAGTTCACCTCTCAGGTAACCTCCTTATTTGTAAAAATATTTAGCTATATTGAGCCAAAGCCATAGTGTCATGACTCCGATTTCCCTCTATTCCTTGAGCCAAATCCAGGCCCAAATCTCCCCTGGTTACACTGGGCTAGTCTGGTTCCATGCTGGCTTCAAAGCATGATAGAATGAGAAAGGTAACAATCCAATTAACTCTTAATTATGTAACTTTCCAAGCCAATTAATGTACAGAACAGCTTCTCCTTTACATTCATACAAACTCCATCTCCCATCAATTTTGTTGCTCTACATCTGCTATTTTACTCTTTTTTTGTGCTCTGAAGTTGATTAAAAGTAAAGACAGTCATGAAACAATAATGATTCACTTCTTCTGTGGATATATAAATTGCATCTATTTTACTTGATGACCAACAATGACCAACCAATATCAATCAGCCATTTTACCAGTTCTGTGTCAGTCTCTTTCCTCATTTCAGCAGGAAGTGCTACAGTTTATTTGTTACTTGTTAAGTAATGACAAAAAGAAGCATTACTGATTCATTTGTAAATATACAAAAGATTTTTCATACCTGAATCAATACTATTCTCTTTTTTAATTTCTTGTTTTTGTTTTTATCTTATACAACATATTGCAACAGCATTTTTTTTTATAGGACTCCCTAGGACGTCACCAGAGACTTCATGAGGGTTCTGGAAAGAACTCTGTGCTTCCTACTTGCCATATTTGCAACAAGAAGTGTGCTACACCAAGTCTTCTTAAAAGACATGTTGCAGTAAGTAGTGATTGTTTACTGAGAAATGTTTGAAAGCCAGAATAAAAAGTTATATTTTTATAATTGTTTTCTAAGAAAAGAAAATTAAATTAGCAGTGATTTGAGGTAAGTGGGATGAACATATAAAATGAATGGTAATTAAGTTTTACTAAACATCCTTTTTTAGAGTCATGAGAGGCATAACTTCAAATGTTCCATATGTGGACAAGACTTTGCCAACCATCAACAGCTGACTGCTCACCAGAATAAACACCATCAGTCAGCTGTTCCTGCTCTCCACAGATGTCACTTATGCAACAAGTCCTTTGTTAAAGAAGCAGACCTAAATCGCCACATAACGACTCACAGCAGTCCAGCCTTCCACCAGCAGAATACTACTCAGTCTCTTCCAGCAACACAGATAAAAAATTGTGAGAGTGAGGCAACCAACAGTCGCATCAGTCAGGGCATGGGAGCTCTAAGACAGTCTAATGCAGCATGCTTTTTGGCAGGAAAGAAATCTGACCTCTTCCCCCAAACTCAGACCCCCACACAAATGAATAATAGTCTTCCTCAGGCTCCTTGTGGGAACAACAGCTACCTCGGAGGGTTGTCACAGACTCCTCAGCAGCAGCACTCCCACCACCTTCAGAGTGCACAGCTACATCCAGTAACAGTCAACCAAACTTCACAGCAGCAGCAGTTGATGGCCAACACCAGTACCAACACCCAAGCATCGACTCTTCAAGCTCCAGTCTTCTTGGCTAGTGTGTCATATGATCCAGAAATTCTGGGTGCTAGTTTGCAAGAGACAGCTTATCAGCAGCCACAAGGCCAGGAGTAAATGTTGGAAAGAAAACATTTATTCTTTAAGTATAATCAACTTCCTGAAGACTGTGATTCTTACTACCAGTTTGGAATTTATCTGTATATTAAAAAATCATGGGAATGCTGCTTTTTCACCTCTTAAATTATGTACACAAATTCAGAAATCTTTATATGTAAATAAAATATTTAAAACATATTTTTTTTTACTTCTGTCAAAATTATAAATACCTTTTATCTTATCAGATGAGTTAGAAATACATCAACAAGATTTTGAAATAGCACCTGACTGCTTTACCATCTTATTTGATGCTGTGATAAATCACACAAAATCTTTCTTTATGAAACTTTAAACTGATTAATTATATATATCCACTATTGATTAGAAAACTGTAAATCATCTTTAGAATAAGTAATTCCTTATATGGAAATCATTGATAGGCTAAATACTTGAAAATACAAAATATACATATATTTTTATGCAGATTAATAGCAGCCACTGTAATAGTACAACAATATATATATATGCAACACACAAAAAAAAATGTTGATGGTTTGTAACATAACGCATGAGAAATACAAAAATATTACTGTGTTAACAATCACCCATGCTTTTTGCAGAAACATTACATGAAATATATAAACAAGCAAAGTATCTTTAAAAGATAAGCCAAATAGGTACAAACAAACAAACAAAGTCATTTACAACTACAACAAGTAACTAATATGAAAGAAGTATTCCATATATATCAGTGGT